CATGGAATTATGATGTTTTCTGTTGGTGTGTCACAGGGATTACCCATTTGTCAGTTCTGCATTTTTAAAAAAGAGCGGGAAACGTAAATTGCTTCATCAGCATTCGAAACTCGAATGACGTCATTTCTTAAAAAAATGTGGAGCACTCTCGTTATCAATCGCCTGGACCGTAAAACGCCTGAGGACAGTGCCCTACATTTTTTATTACGACTTTTTTTTGATCGAGTAAAATGCGAAATTTTGAGAACTGAACGCAAGATGTTGAATAATCAACCAACACGTTTCATTTATAAACATCTATCGCCGGGAAAGATCCCTTTCGTGGTTTGAAAGGACGGGAAAATACCCTTAACCTCTACCGATCACGGCGGCAACTGTTACTTGAAATCACGGCTATTGCATCAGAAAACTGGTCAATCCGAGGAAAGACTGATTTCCTTGATATTTTCTGTCCAAAATTCATCCTGGGGTCCTTGGAAAGCTAGAGTAGCTATAAGTAAGCGACCAGAGGAATTTTTCTAGTGGATCCGGCCCTAGCGCCTTTTAAATAGCTTGATTTTTAGCTAAAAACATGTTATAGCCTGACCCTAGAATTATATTAGTGACAGGCTTTTTCAAGGTCGCCTTGTAGGTTTTGTTGCTCGATATAGAGGCTCGCCGATCAAGCAAATACCAAATTGTTGCATCACCAACATGCAAGAATTATTTTGTAGCGCATTTGTATGGCAGGGAAATATCCCTTTGCTATGGATTGGATAGTATTTTTAGTCTTTTCAGAGGACAGAGAATTACCCTTGGCCTCTGTCCAATCAAATTTTGGAAGCCTGGTTATGATTGGTCAGAATCAAAAGTAAAGATGACGTCATGAAGCCTATAAATTCTCACACCCGACGGCGGGCAAATTCAAATCGTCAAATTGCCCTCAGTTTTATGCGACGTTAGATAGACTGATAGATCGAAAACTTTTTATTTGCTGGTCTGTCCTAGGGAGCCCGAGGAAGCAGGCGGGAGGAAAATAAGCGAAATCGTAAGTGAAAGTAAAGAATAAGAGGTCTGTTCTGTCAAACGTAAGCTGCCATCTGAGACCTTTTCACGGTGGGTTTCTTGATAATCCGTATAAATTAGGGAGCGAACACAGTGAAAAATTTACACAACAGGATTTTCAATCAAATTTGAGGCCTTGGAAGTTCGCTTTGACGTTCTCTTGTAACAGTCAGATATACGTCGATAAAACTTCACCGATTTATAATATATTGAATATATTATTTGTTGAGTGTGTAATCTTTAAATAACCATGTTGTTTTCATTTGTTTCTTTTCCTAGAAGAGTGATCACCTTTTACACAGTGGACTCACTATTTCCAGTACAGTGTATAAGGTAACTTTGAATACTTTTCTGACCTTCTTTGCTCATTCATTTACCTTAAGAGAGAGTAATGACCATATTGTATTGAACTTCTGCGAAATTGTCAAAATTGTAGCGCGCGCAAAGCTTCACAACAAAGTCTAATTGTCACAAGATAATCAAGTTCCCCGGTTTCTCTCGCCCTCTCTATGTTGAGGACAATGGAAGACGCAACCTTCATTAGCGAAAATTTGGCATAATTTAATCGATAACTGCATTTCGTTTATTGTCAACTTATAAGTGATAGCTTTTAAATCGTTGAAGAAAATGTGGCAAAATTAGCTAAAATCAACCTTCACCAACCCAAAGCTTCGCGTGAGCAGTACATACAGAGTCCACTTTTTCAGTATTCATGGACGTGTAGTGGCAAGATGTTCTTTGTATGGCACGGGATTTATTTTTGTATAAGAACCACATTAGCTTGATGTTTTGAAAAGACAAGCCAGGCTCACCACCGATAAATTCTCGGAAACTGAGCACGACTTAATTTTCTCAGAAGTCACGCTAGACCAACTCTCGTCACACCAAGTCCTTACCATACAGCCCATAACTCGGCCGTGGCCTTATTGTAAGTCCGTCTTCGCTTCAATTATATGGGCTCCTGGTGTAACTGAGAAAACAACAGCTAGCAGCAAGTTTTATTCGTATCCTTTTCCCAGTTTAACATTAGTCTTTCTTCGTCCGTGTTTCCTCACAACAGGAGCCCGTTGGAAAAAGAGATGACAAAGAGGCCCCGGCTCCCGCCTTTTTCTTTCTTCCCATCTTCCCCGCAGGCTCACTTTTTTTTTAGTTATTTTTATTTTATTGAACTATCGAGCGGGAGTCTCTGAGTGTTCGATTTCAACGTCTTCATCGTAATTAAAATTGATTACTTGGCTGTCTGATTTAGAATGGGCTATTGCATTTACTATCTGTATCCCCCGGGTTCAGGACTTACCTTTTCTTCTTACCCCTGAAGATTGGCTAAAATTGCAGTCACCTCGGAAGACTTCCAAAAAATATGGGTTTACCCCTGAAGAATTGGGTCATACCGCTGAAAAATATGGGTTTACCCCTAACGAATTTCGTGAAATTCCCCAAAGAATTCATTTGCTTCACCCCCAAAGAATTCCATATTTTTTACTCTACCCCGAAAGAAATCCTCAATTTTTATGACTTACCCCTGGGGAATTCCATGGTTCCTCAACCAGCGGGGTGCGGATATTAAATGCAATAGCCCAATGGTACTTTTAGGGGTTAGAGCTTGAGCCGATCCCAGATTTGTCTCTTTTAGTGGTTTTAACTTCCTAAACTTCCGACGAGCATCTCTGTCCATTTCACAGGAAAAAAATCGAACTTCCCTTCGACCGGGATATTGATATTGGGACTGATTTAAGGATGAGTAATCGCTAGAAACTTTGCATGTCCTAGTGACCTGGTCCCTTTTCCCCTGTTTTACTGATATAAAAACGTGACACTGGTAGTATAAAGAAAAATATCCTACAGCAAAGAACTATTCGATTCACACGGTGGATATTTTAATTTGATTTGATATTGTTTCAGTTTGCTATGGCCTCTAACGTTTGTACCAGGCTGTTGCAAAAAAGATGGAGACCCTACGAGGTAGAGAATATTCCTCGCATTGAAGGAATTTATGTGATAGGCATTTCCAGACTATCAGAGGAAGCGAAAGTGATCTATGTCGGTCGAACAAACGATGTCCACCGACGGTTGGTCGAACACCAACGGCAACATCTTGCCATTGATGAATTTATAAAAGAAGAGTTTGAGGACAATGATGGAGAGGATTTACGTGTTAAGTGGATAAGTGAACATAATCAAGCAATAAAGGAAAAGGAGTACATTAATTGCATTGCTGAAAAAGTGGGATATTGGCCCGAGTATAACATCAAGCGTTGAGCTGCCCTGCATTCTGATTGGACAAAGTGCGTATATAGGGTAGAGAACTTCGTGATACATCAATTTATCGCTCAGTAGTACTATTAAGATGGTGTTTGAAGTAAGATTTAATGAAAGTATATGGCTTTTTTTTCAAAACCAAAGTAATTGATCTTTATGAAGTGGAAGCAAACGAATTTTCTTTTCCATACTTCCTGGTTAGTGTTTTTAATCTATAAATTCTAAATGGTGATGACAAGAGAGTTTGAGAGAATCCCTGTTCCCCATATGATAATTATCTGAAATCTATTTAAAGCTTGCTCCACAGGTACCTCAAGCTCACGAGTGAGAATCGTTGTTGCGTAGCAGTTGTATGGAGATTTAAGCGATCGTTATTTAGGGGTCAAAAATAGTAATAAAAATACACCAGAATTTCTCACCTTGTCTCCTTGCGTTAATTTATGGTGTTCTCTTAGCATTTTTGGCCGTTTCAGGGCGATTCCAGCGAGTTTTAGTTCTGCCGCTGTTCGTTATTTTTATGTTATATTATAACGATAGAAAAAAATAAAAAAATTGAAAAACAACAACAAAAAAATGTACCGAACTTAATACCTATTTGGGTACTCCCAAATGATTATGTTACATGTGCCGGGGTAAGACTAATCTGTGGAACTGCAGACGGCGGAACCACGGAACCTGCGGAACCTAAAGAAATGACTGTTTTTATTGCAACTACCTTTGGTTAACGTGATAAAATAATTAGTTACAATCAGTTAGTATATGTAATAGGACTACATGCTGTCCAATTTGCAAATAATTGGATGATAAAAATTCCGAGGACAGCCAAAATTGTAGGCTCGATTACCAGCCGCTGTTCGGGAAAATGAGCCCGCACTCATCCCCCCGAAGGGACAAGGTCAACGGGTCACGCGTCCAGCCGTCTCTCTTCGGGGAGGATCAAGACCGGACCCGGGAGACTGCGGAAATCGAGCCTACCAAAATTGGACGTAGGCCGAGTCCAATTTAGCTGTCAGAGGAATTTTTTTAATAATAATAATAAAAAGATCTTTATTGCGTATACTGGCGCGTTCTCAGAGGATCTCAGAGTAGCGTAAATTTGAGATCATTGGTCATTTACAACGGGTGGTACATAAGACGCGGGGGTTTTACAGTTTATACTACTACGTGAGAAATTTCTGCAATTTGATTGGCTTAGAGCAGTGGTATTTCAGCTTAATTTGAAATACCTACATGTGAAAATTGCAAACCTTTTGCGGGTAGTAGTATAAACAAATAATAGCATGATTTGTACGTGATATTTGGTATAAATAACACTTGTGATATTTCAAAATTGTCTCAAATTTCACTCGACTAACGGTTCGTGAAATTACGTGTAACAATTTTGAAATATCACTCGTGGTACTTATGCCAAATATCACTACAAATCATGCTATTACCTATACAAATCATTAACGAAATATGACACTAAAGTCTCTTGCCGCTAAGTTCCCATATAAACGCACATTTGATCACCTTGTCTGACGAAAAGATTGGAATCATGATAAAAGACCTTAAAAACAGGTTTTGTAGAAAATAATTAAAGGACAATCAAGCCCTTTGTCAGTTGACAGTAAAATCCCAGGCAAATGTCAGTTGTCAGTCAAATTTTAGCCGATTTGTTAGTTGTCAGTTATTGACTATTTTTCAGTTTTCAGTTAATCCCTTCCAGACCCTCTCATTTAGCGTCCGTTCATTTTTTATGGGGCTGGGGGAAAGGATGGTGGGATTTGACGGTTAGTTCCTGTAGAATATGATGACCCCTCTTCATCAGAAATTCTTATTAGGTGCCCCCAGCCCCTTGAATCAAAAAAAAAAACGAAAAAAGTTAAATTAGGACTGCTGAACTTAAATCAAATAGAAGTTTTGAATGGCCATAAGTAGAGAACAGATGATGGTCTGTATAGCTGAAGTTGCAATGGGGTCTCGGTTTTTAACAATGAGAACCTCGAGAGAAACTTAATATTTGAAGCTTTAAAAGCTAGTAAACTTGGTTATTTATATGCAAAATATTTACTGTACTGGATGGTATACCAAGTTGAGGACGGCCATGTTATTTGTAAAATTATGGCGACCGAATGTATGATACGGTGGCTGAACAGTGACCCTTATTGCCAGATTTTTTAGCTCTATTACTTTAAAACGGTCTATGCCTTCCCCGGGGATTGAAGGACCGGCCAATCAACAGTCAATCGACAGCCTCAAAACATCATTACTTGCTTACGGCAATACACAGCATTAGGCAAAGGCTCTCAAACGTTAACAACACACTTATTAGCCTGTTCCAGGCGTTCATTTAGTAGAGCACGGTAAGTGGGGGGCGAGTTAAGGTATACACGGGAAAACGTTTTTTGCGGATCTTGTCTTCTCTAGATCCTAAGTTCTGCGGCATTTCCTTTGCGGTATGTCGCGTTCCCAGTGTCGTAGACGCGTGGCGTTAGGCACTGGCGGTTCGCCAGGTCAATCACAGTGAAGCACCGAGCGGTCAGCAAGATTCAATGGCGTTTATTAAAATCAGGCTAGTCCGACTATTTACAGCACTTGCGGTGAAAAGTCTGATCTTGACCCGGGGGGTTAAAGGAGCTCCAAATCTCCTACAGTTGTAATAACTCCGAAAGTTCTCCAAAAGCTCCTTACACTGTGACGGACTTCTTGCAACTGAATAAACGTGCTTAGGAAAAGAATAATCTAACGCATGCCTTCTGACGTAAAGGAAATAAAACTGAATAAAGCTTTGTACGCCTATCCAAAAAACGGATATACGACGATCATGCAATAAAATAAACAATGCTACAATCACGAAAGAAAAAACAGTCCTTGAATGTAACTAATTAAAATGTCATTTTTCGCGGATGACGTGACACGGTACTTTGTCAATTTCATGGGAAGATGCATACAGTGTATTATTATTTTGATTATTACGCTGGAAAATGACATTGAACATAGAAAATTTTTTCGCCCATGATTGTTTCAGCTAATTTGTGTTTCGTCCTTCTTCAAGGCACGATCAGGTGCCCCTTCTCTTGATCGATCAAGAAAAGAATTCACAAAAAGATGGTACGTGACCATTGTTGTTAATCACGGACTGCAAAGGCGCATGGGACTGTTATTGAGATGAAGCAAGGCACAGCTCACGATCACGTAAGCAGCGGGCGAGACGTGTATTCTTCAGCCCAAAAACACGGAAGTTGTTTCCATTGGAGATTTACGTGTGTTGAACGTATTGGACTATTCAGCTTAGCCCTTGTCGTAGATATTGATATTGCAGTCTCATGATTCCTTGGTGAGGTAAACCGTGACTTGAAGGAAGAATAATACCGAAGAGAATACCGTGATCATTCGAGCGCGGGATACGAATTGAGGTGCAAATATTGCGCAAATGGTCGAATATTTCAGGAACAGTGCAGCCAAAATTCGAGTCTCTGAAGTTTAACACTTTGAGATCTAAAGTGAAAAAGTTTTAAGGACATTTCAAAACCGAAAAGCAGTGGAAGTAAATACGACATGGTTAAAATTCAAGCTCTTGTTTGTCGGCTCCGTTTTGCAAGACTTCACTGAAGAACCATCTTGTTTACATTTGTACATGAAAGAGGTATGAAGATTCCCTCGTTTGTTGGTCCTTTGGTGAGCGCAGTTTTGTTTCTATTAGTTTTATTTGCTTTTTGGTTTTATTACTGTTACTTGAAGCCGAAAAGACAAAGGAAAAAGAACCAAGGATGTAACAACACTGCTAACCCCGAATCTCCGAGTTTAAGTGTACGCCGCTCACGTGCAGCAACGAAATCCAGTTCATATGATGAAGAGTGTTTTTACGGTTATGGCTCGGGATTATCTGCGTATTCCGCCGGTTACTGTTTTCACGGAGGCTTTCCTATGGTTAATCTCACTTCCTATGAACAAAGATGGCAACCTCCGAAGAAAATGAGAGACCAAGCGTCGCTATTCAACACGAAAATCGAACAATGTAACAAGAAAAACAAAGCCTGCTGCGAGCTTCGTGTTGATGATATTATCAAAGCACGAATTGCTAAAAAGCCTTGCATTTCTCGCCAGTTTAGCTCAGAGAGCCACGGAGCTCGAAAATCGTGTCATTTACAAGTTATACAAGAATGTGAGGAAGAGAAGGAGGAAAATAAGGAAAAATCAGAGATCAAAGACAAAGATTTAGGAAGCGGAGAAGTAAACGATTTTGTAGCGACGTAAATTTCCCATTGTTTTCCCTTTGACAACAACCTCCTAAGATTATTGATTTTTCCGGTGCCTTGGTGTCAGGAGGTGGAAAATACTGAAAAATATGATTTTCAAATGTTGTTTATAAAACCAAGATAATGTTACTTTACCCTAGATGAGCCTTCCTCGAATTACGGTGTCTGGGAAACAATGAGGAAAGATCGAAGCGTGACTCGGCTAGCAGGGTAATGTGTCAAGACACATAACTTTTCCATTCAAGATCTCTTCACACTTAATGCTGTGTCAAATACTTAAATAATACATGTTCGACTTATTTTTTAATTATCTTATCTTGTTGGTAAAGTTCACTCACAAAATAGTTAGTCGAATTTTATATTTGTAAAGACAAATACCAAATTTAAATTATTTCTTTGGCTTATATCTCGTCTAAAGTATGCACTTTTACTTAGAGATAGGCTGCATTAAGTAACTCAATGCCAAAGTCTCTTTCTGTTAAAGTGCTCCATGAAAAAAATTGTTGAGAGTTGAAAGGGGGTGGGTGGACACTTTAAGAGAATTCTGGTCATAATTTTTAGAAGTAATTATTGAAGCAAACAAGTAATAAGTTTTTAGCAATTTGTCCGAGAAAGAATTAGAGCTTGATGACAAATTTAATTTGCAAAACATAGCTTTAAATAATACGTTGTTTTATTCTTATTAATTCTTTCTTAACAAAACAGGAATATTTTGGTATGTTTCCATATTTGTTGTAAATTTATCTTTGGGGCTTTAAATCCTATGACAGTGCCCCATTTATTTAAAAAAGTTTGATTGTTTTATATCTACTGCCAAGTCTTGATTGTAAGCATAAAGGGACATAACTAGGGCCATTTATACGAGGAAAAATAAGACGCGTCTTACATAAGACGCGAACTTTCCGTTTAAACGGTACCTTTTGTCTAAAATAAGACGCGGCTTAGCTAAGATGCGTCTTATTAGATAAGACATGCTCGTATAAATGGTACAGTTCGCGTCTTATTTAAGACGCGTCTTATTTTTCCTCGTATAAATGGCCCTATTATGAAAATGGTAAGACCATTGAAACATCACTAGAACTAAATAACTTAATAACTTCAAACTTAACCTTTTCTCTAGCAAGTGAAATGAAGGATTTTGTGGAACAAAAAACTAATGCATTTATCACTTTAGGTTTAGCTGATGGCACCTTAATCCTATATTTTAATATTTTCTGGAACTACAAAATAGAAATAACTTTTATTTATGATGGAATAACTAATTACTATATCTGTGTTTAGTTACTTTACTTTGTAATAAATTATTATGAACATGTCATTCCTGGAATGCATGCAGATCTTTCACATAAAGAAGTTATATCGTTGTCCTCTGAGAATTATTTTGTAGTCAATGCTAATAACCTTTCTTTGACTTCTCACTTTTGCACCTTGTCTAGCTGATTGATACATTGAACCCTCGTTCAGTATGGGAAGTTTCTTTTGTTTTATGAAAAGTTTCATGTATGATAATTATACTGTTAAAGACAAAGAAAACAGAAAAAAAAAACAAAGGATGGGTTTGATCTGCAACAGATATTCATGTTAGGTCGTTGTTCAGGTTCACCTCAATAGTTGATCATGTGTTGCCAATCATATTAAATCTGTCTTTTTTTTAACTTCATGCAGAAATTAAATATATTGGTGAACATGAAATCAATGCCATCGTATTACAATAAAGGCATGGAATTTCCAGGGGGCTCAAACCAATAAATTGTCAGTGATCGGTGATAAGTATGGATATTTTCTGATTTAACACATTACAATAAATACCATTTGTTTACTCTACATATTATCTACGTTAATTTGGTCTTGTTTATGGATGGTAATTGTTCTATTTACTTTGCCTTAAAGTTTTAATCAAGATAGGTTTTGATTATTTATATAAATTATTATTATTAATATACCCCCTGTACTTTGAAAGTACTGGCACATAATTGTTGTTAATCTGATTTTGATGTAAAAGATTTCTCTGTTGAACACAGATTGGCACTGCTTTTTTTCCCATGTAACAGCACTTTGTACAAACCTCGAAAACTGGTCAGTATGACACCAGTGTGCCACTTTTTGCCAGCACAAAAACTTAATTGATCAAACCTTAACCTGTGTGCTATAGTATCTCTTCTCAACCTAATCAAGAATGAGCTGTTCAACTGACCCTTTAATAATAATAATAATAATCACGATAAAAGTAAATTATAATTATCATAAAAATTATCCCAGAATCCTTTGAGGCAATTCTTTTTATAAGCTTTATAACTTTGTCAATTTCATATGTAGAAGAATGTAAGACCATAACACTTGCCATAAAATATCTCTCCATGTCATATACAGGGTGATGACATCATCAATCACGTGACTGTTTTCAAATTTGCTTTTTTTGTTGCTGTGACAAGATTTCATTATTGGGTTAAAAACAAATAGCATGTTTGAGGTTTTGGGGGTGTGTGGGGCATTTAAAAATCACCAGGTTACGTCCGGCATTTAAAATTTAAGGGGGTAAAGAAAATGAGCGAAAAAGTCAGGAGACTAGGCCAAGGGTTGTAAATAATTGACATTTCATCACACGGCAGAGAAAATTTGCAGGAAAGTAATGTTCTACCTGATAATTTTTCTCATGACCAAAAGAGGGACGTGACGTCGTCAGTCACGTGATCAGAGCGTTTTGAATATTTTGGTTCGTTTTTAAAGTACATTTTTCGCTATAAATTGGCAAGTTTTTGTTGTTTTTTTTTTCTGGAAATCTTTACACTTTAATTCCCTTGAGTAATTATTATTCCATTCACAAAGCAGAAAGGAACAAAAACTGAGCCAGAAGTTTAAAAGTTGCGTAAATTGACCGATATTGCAAATTAAAATCGAAAAGGAGACCTTCCCTTGAGACTTGTAAAATACTTTTTCAACTTTACTGTTTGTTTGCCGAAGTAAATGTTCAACGTTTGTTAATAAAGAAGAACTTAAAAATTAAACGGATGTATTTGGCGGCCATATTGTTTTTCTTCATTCCGGAGAGAGAGGTCATGTAGCAGCTCTCCTAACCTAAAGCAATGGAAATAATGATGAACAATGTTGTGTAGCCGCGCGATCGATAGTTCATAAATTTCTTAAACGTTACCCGGCATGGAGCCAGCCCTAAAGAGTATTAATGGGTTTATTGTGAGCTTTACGTCTACAACCCCGGACAAAACTGTTGAGACAATTCCATCTATCTTCTTACTTTTGCGCCCTACTCCCGTCTCCCCTAAACACAAAAAGTAAACCCCCTCCCCACCCCCTATTCAAAGTTGCCTTGGTCTAAAAACCAACGTGTATAATTGCCATGCTATCCTAAACAACTTTGGATAAGGGGAGGGGGGAAATCGGGCATTCATTTGGCGGAGGTTTCAGTTTTTGCCGGGATGACAGGAAAAAATAGGCATTTTCGCGATTTGTCTCAACAGGTTTTGTCCGGGGTTGTAGCTTCGGTCAGTGAAAGATTTAATTCTACACGGAAATTAAAAAAAAAAGACAAACGAAAAAGTCATCATTGAAAACTGTCAATCACCATAGAGAAAGAATATATATCTCTTTTAAACTCGATTTGTCAGAGTTTACCGAGGTGGTCCAGTGGACAGAGGCGTAGCCTGCGATCATGCCCCTCTCCCTTTATCTCTGTAATATGCCTTTTTCCCTATCGAGCCAAAGAAGCAACAAAGCCAAAAAACAAAAAAAAAACAACAACAACGCTTGATCTTAGGTTAACAGAGGCGTGACCTGTTTGTTCTAACTGATTCTGAGGGTCCATGTTCGAATCTCCTTGAAGCAAATTTTTCGTAACATTATTTTTCTCTTCTGTTTTTAAAATCTCTTTTTTACTCTCTTTTTTACCTGTGTGGTGCATATAGCTAGTAACATAACGTGGTAAATTGAAAACAAAGTTTAGAGGAACATAAAAGATGTGGTATGTATCATAGCGTATCTATTTTTAGTAATACTGGACACTGTCATCATTATTCAGCTCAATCGTCGTATTTCGCATGTGCCGAATATAATGCATTAATTATAGAAACCCTTATCCATATTGGATAAAAGACTGGGAATATTTACAACAAACAGAGTTAAAGTCGGCACCATCATATCCGACGTCTGAATCAACTGCCGTTTTACTTGCTTTCATCGACAAAATAGGTGTTCGGCGCTCATAAGAAATTCCACGTTTGGCAGGGGCCTAACATGACATAAGTCAGGGGCACCCAGCGGCAATTTTCGGGAAAATATCTGTTCGGAAGACGATTTGAGAACTAGAATTTTCGGAACATTTGTTGTAAAATTTCTTGCTTGCCTGCCCCTCCTAGGATTTTCGAACATCTACAAAATGGTATAATTACCCATTTTAAACGGATATTTACCCTAAAAAAGGCCACCTAGAATTTTCGGGAGCCATTTTTCTGGCTGAAATTTTCGAAAAGGTAAGTTTTGATCCCTATAATTTTCGGATCACTAGACTTTCAGCTAGGAAATCCGAACAGATGAAAAGTTTTTAGGGGATAAAAATATGCCTATATCTACCGTTTAAATACTAAAATACGTTCAACAATGCTATGTTACTTGGTTTTGAACTATATCCTCGTTGGGTGCCCCTGATAAGTTTCAGCTTAATGGTTTTAAGGCTGTTATTAAGTTGTTGCTTTCTTTTCAGTAAGAGCAATTCGTATCTCTCTTTGTAAATCCATGTTATTAATCGGCTTGGGCCGCGACTTAAGAATCACCTGTGCAGCATGTCTATATATAAGTTTAGAGAGAAAATCGTTTACATGAAAACCCATAAAACGGCCACAGATCGGCCCTTGAACCACACAGGAGAGACGTAACACACATTTTAAGTAAGGTAAGCTGTTTTTTTTATTGAAATCCTTTCATTTTCGTAGGTTACAGAAACGA